CAGTCATGGCCGCACAAATAACCGAGCTACTCAAATACTTGTCATCATCCCTCATCAGCATCCTGATTGTTGAGGAGGAGAGATTAGTGGGAATGTCCACATACATCCAGCGGCCTCTGATATGACAGCAAGGGTTTATGGGACAGCAACGCTAGAGTCCCGCCTGCTTCACCTTGACCCCAGCGGCCCGCTTCCGCCGCCACCATTCCTCTCGTCTCAGGCTCTCCAGTCTGACCTCGTCATCCCGGGGCCTCTGGCCTCGCCTCTGACGGCTGAGTTATTACCATAATTACCCAGGAGGCATTGCAGGGAGCGGCCACATGGCAGAGGCTGCCCATGTTTAACAGAATATTTGGGTGTTTTATCGACTTTAACTCAGCCCCTGGGGCAGGCGAGAGGGGGCCTGGATGATAAGAAAACCACTCATGTGGGAAATGAAGAGGACCGTTTCACAGACGGAACCAAGAAGGGGATGAAATATACTGTTAATGCAGCAGTGGCCAGTGCACATATGTCATATATTCTCTAAGACAATGTGTAAATATGCTCATATATTCAGCCGGTGTCGAGCAGAAGGACTTGGGTGGAGATGACTACCTTCTAAAAATAGCCCTTTGAACTCTCTATAATGAAAAAGTATTTGGATTGCTTTGTGTCAACATTAAATATTTCATGTCCCGAGGTGGAGTGAAGGTTTGCACAGCAGGGATCTTCTGAATCGACAGACTGAAAGGGTTCAGGTTTGGGGAAATTTTACTACTTTTTTTTTTTTCAACTTATTCAGCGTCAGACCAACTTACAGAGACTTTCCATGTCTGTGTAAATTTGCTCATTTGAATTCATCGAAGCCTATGGGATCAAACAGAAACTCCTCTTAAAAACAGCAGTTCAACATACATTCAAACTGAGCACAAGGTCATAAAAATGTATCTAGGAAAGACAATAAAATTTAACTTAAACTGAACTATTCCTTAAAGTCCCTCCCCAGACACGTTTTAAAGTATGTAATATTTATACTAATATTTTATTTAACATGGTTTTCACACATAATAGTTTAAACAACTCTGGGCTGGAAGCAGATCTACTCTTACTCCCTCATTGTGAAATTTTCTCAAGGTAAGTTTCGCTTTCTGCTTTCTCCAGCGCCCCTAATGCTTTGTTGACCAGTGAAAGAGTAGTGCGCATTTACATGGGATTGTCCAATTGCCCAGAGCAAGTAAAATACCACGTTGAGATAGTAAATCTATCAACTCTTAACTCTTAACACACTGTTTTTCTCTGGAAGTCACAAAAGGGTGAGCCATCTCGCTTCCCTCTCGTCTCTGTTGAGAGCTTGCACATGTACAGTACTGACTGGGCACTCGATGAAAATGGCGGCGAGTAAAGATGATATTTATGAGCTGAACTGCAAGTGAACACTTCAATCAAACTGAAAACTGAGTTTAGTTTGGAGGTGTTATAGGATGTGAGTGAAACTAACTATGTTTTGCGAAGTTTGCCACAAGTTTAAGAGCAAGGCAGATAGAACTGGGTCGTTTTTCAAGACAAATTAACTTTAGTCTTCGCTGTTATGGACTGAAATTGTATAGTACCCTTTTAGTCATCTGACCACTCAAAGTGCTTTTTACACTACGAGTCACATTCACACATTCACACACAGAAGGCTGAGACTACCATACAAGGTGCCACCTGCTACCCAGTTAGACATTCACACACACTCACACACTGATGGAAAAGCCATCGTTGAGATAGTAAATCCCAATTGGTGGACGACCTGCTCTGCCTTTGAGCAGGTTATTTGATAATTGCCAATAAATAAAACAATTTGTATTGACCAAGTAAAAATTGACTTTGGGCAAGTAGATTACTGACACACTTGACCAACTGGGCATTAATGACATTAATGTGGACCCCTGATGATTTTTGTTAGCTTGTAGGCTAACAGGCAGTGGCTAAGAACGGGTATGACACCACGTTAGTGTTTGTGAAACACACAAGAATATCTTCTATGATGGGGTTTTTGGTAGATAGTAAGCGGATGCTCCAGGGTCCTCTGTACAATCAAAAACTGCACACTCTACCATGTTTGCTGTCAAAACTTTCACTAGGCTGATGCAAACTCATGCTCTCCAAGATGTCCACTCTACGTTGGAGGTTTCAGATTTCTGTCCTGGTGTTGCGTCGAGGTCAGTTCCCATGTCAATATGTGTTTCCTGTGTAAGACAGCTACTGGCTTTTGTATTAGTTTCTAGATGTACCTAATCTAGCTTGCCTGGGGTACATTTGAATTTAGGAAAATGCACAGATGTCGCCCCCTTCAGTAGAGGAATGTGTAATCCCTTCTCTAGTGACAATCTTTGCACAGACAGAAATCAGTCTGGTCAAGGTCAGATATTTTAGGGGACATAAACAGAACAAAAACACATTTTTGAGTGGACGTGGACTTTTATGAAAAATGTTTTCTTCCTGCTACAACTGCAAATATAAACACATTTTGAAAGCCAGGTGGATGTTATCTCCAAAACTAACAGTTTCAGCTATATGTAGAATTTTGAAGAAAGCTCTTTATAATCCATGTCTATACTTTCATGTCTACCAAGCCAGGAGGCCATGCATATTCATACAGCTGGAGTGAAAAGTAGAGCCCAGCCTGCCATACACAGGGCACAGAGGCCATTGGCCTCAGGCCAACAACGCACACAGAGACAAAGGTTGTGTATAGTAAGCACACACTTCTATTAGTTTCTGTATTTACACTTAAAAGCTCCGGCAAACCCACACAGAGAAATACAGAAACACACACACATTCACACACGCCCTCACCTGCTTGGAAAGGTCAACGCATTAGCATTCCAATACATACAATATTCAGACTTTCCTGGTCTTATATAGCTACCCATCAAACATGTCCAAGATGGCACTTAGCCGTGTGTGCCCGTGTCTTATTATGCAGACCCATCTGTGTGGGTTCAAAGGTCATGGCCGGGCCTGGCAGGGGCTACAGGTGAGCAGATGAGAACAGTAGGGGCTCGGTTTAATTTAGCTAAGCACTACAGGATGCAGTGCGCCCCTGTATCTGGGAAGGACAAGTTGAACTTTTCACACTGCGCCTCAGACTCATCGTTTCAATGGGTGGAAAGTCGAGGAAAAATGAGTAATAGAGTCAAGTAAAAAAAAAAGCTTTTGACAGGGAATCTGTTTCTTTGTGGCTGAGTTGTTTTTTTTTTATTTTGTGTGAGACTTGTTCAAACAAAGACAGACAAGCACATAAACACACATACACACAGGGCTCTGTCACCAAGTCTGTGTTTTTACCTCCCTTTCTTTCTCTTTCTCCCTCTGACACACATCCAAGCACACAATACACACAGACATATTGAAAGAAGATGACTGTCAGCAGTGTAATCGTGTGTGTGTGTGTGTAATGGTGTGAGGGTGTGAGGGAGAAAATCCCTAATCTGGCATGGGCCAGCTTCCTGTCTAGACTCTGCATGAGGAGGCCAGCACTAACCTGGCCAGTGCTGTGAGTGTGTATGTGTATGTGTGTGAGTCCATACATGCACATTACTATTATGTCTGTGTGCATGCTACTAATTTATGTGTGAGCACAGACCTACATTATGTCTGTGTCTTAGTTGCACACTATCATTGTACTCGTCCAAACCAGAAAACAGACATTAACCTCTGGCCTTCCGTATCTACTCTCCAATGCTTGTTTTGAAACTGGACACTTTCCAGTAAAAGCTCCTTTTTGTTTTCTGTTATTTTGACACTTTCTCTGCCACGCGTGCCAACGCTGCCGTGATTCCAAAAGCCAATTTCCTCATTATCCAACTTGCACTTACGGGAATAGAGAGGTGGGGGTGTGGAGGGTTAAAGTTGGAGGGAAATGGAAAAAGGCCTGATGTGGTTTTCACTGAAATTCCACACAAAGAGCGAGGATGAGCTAGAGAGGGACTGAAAGGCTCTAGTTCTCCTTCCTTATTCTCTGCCCTTACGAAACACAGCTGATCAGCTGAACAACAGTAAATATAGTAGTGACAGCTGTATATATATTTGCCCCCGCAGCATAAAAACAACACTAAAAAAGAAAAAGTTGCTGAAAAAGAATCCCTCACAGTTTGGTAACATGACCAAACTGAGCTGAATCATAACTGGAACCGCTGACAGCCTCTCGCCATCAATCATGCACACAAACCCTGCCATTAGTAATCACAACAAACACCACTGAGCACAGCAACTTTCTTCCGCCCTACTCACGCTGAGTGCTAATCAAAAAATGCTAAGTGTGTTTAGCCTTAGCTCTGACAGTATTTGTCTGGAGTGTGAATCAACATCATGGACGTTCGCTATTTCATATTCATGCAGAGGCCCAATGACACCTCGTCCTCAGCTTTCTAAAAGGCCTTAACTCAGCAGATCACCACCCCCGTAGACCCAGATGTAAAGTGAACAGTCTTCACCTCTGTGACATCAGACCGCCACAATATGCCGTCTTATGGGAGCAAGCCGTCACGGAGGCCTGCCAAAGACCACGGCCAAGACCACAGCGGCCAAAAGAGCCAAGAGGAACAAATGACAAAGTGATTTTTAGGAGGAAAAAGAAACAACTATATGCAAGTATTTGTAGCGTTCTTTGAAAACTCAAACAATATTTTCATTTTTAAAATAATTAAATGACTTATTACAGGCTAATGTCAAGGGGTCTAAGGTTGTGATCAGAATTATCTTGTCGCTCTACAGAGCTTTTTAGCTTTTACAACATGCCTTTGTTTTACATCCAACACATTAACTGCAGTGCAAATTTTTTTCATTTTCCTCCCATCGACCCCGTTTTTTTGCAAACAACCTCTGATTAACGCAGCATCAAAGAGCAGACAGACAATATTAGCAACTAGCTGGTGAAGAAAGTCAAACTAGCATGCTAAGACTCAGATATTTCTCTCAAGGGTTGAGGGAAACCAAAAGAGATGTAAAATAAAGGTAAATATTGTACTTACATTTCATTAGGTCGCCAGAAACATGACTCCAGTGGGATGTCAATGTCCCTCCATGTCTCATGCGAGCCAGCACTTGTTTGCTAACAGGTTGGCCATGGCCTCTCTCAGCTAGTTTGAAGGTCCTCTGCCCCCTAGTGGACAAAAAATTAAATTGATTAGTCAAAAATGTAAAATAAATGAAATTATTAATAAAACTCACTTTACGACCTGCAGGCTAGGGTGCTGAGTGGCCTGCCGACCATTTTAAGTTATAATAAAAATTTGATTTGCGCTGGGAACTGCTCTTTGTACTTTTAATGTATATAAGGTGTTATTCATACATTCATGTTCTGTAACTGCTTATCCTGGTACAGGGTTGCGGATGTGCTGGAGCTTATCCCAGCTGTCACAGGAAAAGAGGCGGGTACACAGGTCATATAAAAGTGCCAGAGTACATAAAAAACATGAAAATAGAGCTAGTTTATATTTTTAAAAAAGTACCAGAGAGGAAACCCCTGGACAGAGCTCTAGGCTAATTATCTGTATATGAATTACTAATGTTTATTAACTGGTCTCTGACCTCCTTTCATTTTGCAAAAGTTACCACTAGTCAAAGCGAGTTGAGTATCCCTGATTCAGCTGAAGCTTTTATGAAGAGAGACTTAAACTAAGAGCATTAAAGGAGCTCTATATGATATTAAGAGTGTATTTATGTTTCAGAGGTTGTCTGCACACGGCTCTCAACGTGTCGGTGGCTGATCCGGTGGCTACAAGCTAAAGGTGCTAACAACACTAACAGTGTTAACAATGGCACCAGTGCTGACAAAGGTAACAGTGTTAACCAGTACAATGCTGTACCAATATTAGCAGTAACCGCTGTATGAGCACACTGCAGAGAGGCGGCAATGAGGTAGCCAGCGGGATAAACACATCTTGTTATAGATTCAGGTTATAGTTGTATTGTTGTTGCTGTTGTTATTGTTGCGATGACTTGATGTTGTGTTGCCTTGCTTTTGTTATTGCTGATGCCATTGTGTGATGAATATGTTCTATTTTTTTATAATTGGGTTTTTTATATAAAAGTGTTTTTTAGCAGAGAAATTATTCTCCTTTTCCTGCCCAGGGACGATAGATGAAAATTAGCTTATTGCTAACTCTGGTGCAGCTAAGTAGCTGTGCCCTGTCCCTGTTAAATAAATAAAATAAATAAATAGATTACAACACACACAAAGGGAGCATGACTCTGTGCTCAAGACCCCATCAACACTATATCTTTGCATAGCAAATAGTTGTTTGTCATTGTATAAATGCTCTGGAAGTTGTACAGAGCTCCTTTAAATCTCGACAGGAACAAAAGTTAGATGTCTTTAAGTTCAGGTTCTTCTGTGCTGCGGCACAATTACTTAAAGCTCCAGTAGGCAACACTGTTTTGGTATAATTGAGTAAAAATTTTATAATATCCTCTAAGCATAATGTAAATCAAGTGGTCTGAGAGAAACAATAGGTTTCTGCACCTCACCTGGCTCTGTGTTCAGCCTCTAAAGAATCAGTATCGTGCTGATGTGCATCAACCAATCAAAGGTCAGCTCAGACCACTGCGTTCCTATTGGCTGTTCTACTGCATATGCGCGTTCCCGTGCCGCTGGCAGAAGGGGAGAGCAAGCGGCAATGGCGAACAGTGCACCAGGTAAAATAGCTATTCCAGCAATGGCTACAACTGCCTACAAGGCTAAACAACCCAAAAAAAGGAAGACAGAACTCAGTTCCCCGGAGCCCCAGAGGGAGGGGAAGGGTGAGGTGGGGCCGGGCCCGGCTGGAGGGCGCGAGGGTCGGCCATGGGAGTGGAGCTGAGGGCTCTCCGCGGAGAGGGAGAGCCGAGCCTCGGGGGTATGTGCAGGCGGGCTGCTGCGCTGTGAGGGAGAGCCGAGGCTCGGGAGTATGTGTGGGTCCGCGAGGGAGGGATGGGGAGGGCTGCTGTGCAGAGAGGGAGAGCCGAGCCTCGGGGGTATATGTGCGGGGCCGCGAGGGAGGGATGGAGCGGGCTGCTGCGTGGTGAGGGAGAGCCGAGGCTCCCAGAGAGGGAGAAATAGAACCAAGTAGGATAAAATACTCGCGTGCTCGTCTGGTAGGAGGGGCTCAGGGCGGAGACAAATGAAACCTAAATCAGATGAGACTCAAAAATCAACCGTTTTCAGGCTTTCTACCTACTGCAGCTTTAAAGTGAGACTGTGTAACTTGTATGCAATGTTGCCAGAGGTGACAAAATGCTAAAACACAGTGCAACAGTGGCAAAAGTGGGTAGTCACAAAGTCAGTGAACTTGCCAAGTATTGTCTATTAAAGAGCAATATCAAGCTAAAGTTTGCTAGAATTTGCTACTTGTCATACAAGACTAAGTAAAGCGGGTAAAGAATTGAAGATTACTTAAGTAATTTCTTCTTTTAAAAGTTAAATAGTCCTACTTTAGTGCTTTTTTCCTTTTTACATAAGAGGTCAGTAAGTACTAACATGTCTAGCTGTAGTCTGAAAAGGTTGGTTTCCATCATGTAGTGACTCTACAGACTTCAGTGGGGAGTTCAGAAAAGTCAGAAAAGAGAGGAGCCTTGACTGAGACTAGCAACCACTGAGATAAGTCCATAAAATGAAGGGAAAGCCAATCGTCCAGAGGCAGGGGAACATAATGGTCATGCCAGACTTGTGTAAGATTTGACTATAACTTTGAGGCAGGAAGGAGCACTCTGCTTCACTTCCCTGTAGTGAACAGAAAACAAAGTCTTAGCCAGTCTAAAACAATCGCAGCCTGAAACACAACCTGAGCACACCTGTGAGTAGACCAACATCCAGATCCTTGCTCACTGCCCCAACATAACCACAACACACAGATACTGCCATGTAATCATTTTACCATCGTACTTGTTCTCTGGAGGACTGAAGCAAGACGAAGACATAAACCCAAGGCACAACAACGACACAGTGACAGACAAGCTTTTGCTGACTCCACGTGATCTCACCTTAAGTCATCGTCTAGCCGGTGTGGTATTCCTTTCCTATGTACATGTATTAAGAAAGCCGATGACTAACACAGATGGTGGACGAATCAAATGAGTCATTTGAGTTGTATGGCCATGACATATACACATCATTGTCTCCGCTGGTGTGGGTTTAAGGGGTCTCCTGTTGGCATTCCTATCCAACTGACTCCCCAAGTATGACTCACAGACTTGTTACCCCCAGACGGAGCAGACTTTACTGTGCTGGCTTGTCAGTGTGCTGTTGTAGGGAAATCTGGCGGGATGCTACTTAGTATTTGGGGTTTGTCTGACTCTGTCTCGCCAGTCTTAACAGTCTGACTTTGTGTGTCTGGTCAGACGGTGAACTGTCTACTCTACGGGAACCACGATAAAATCTTAAACTGTTTTATGTTCTGTAAACACAACAGTCGCCTGATCGCCATGCTGCTAGAGGAGGTTAAGCGCTATGGTTGCAGTAACCACTCTGACAAGTACAGTCAGCAGGAATGTAACCTACATTACAGCGAAAAAGAAGACATATTCCTCCGCACTGCTACCAGCATGTGTTTTTGTTTTCATCCTCCGGTCTGTAGCTGCATTCCTTTCCTGTGTGTTGTACGAGACGGAGAGATTGCCGGAGAATGACTCACTAAAACCTGACCCAGCAGTGAGGTAATCACTGGAGGACGCTTGGAGTAAAAGTGAACTTTGATGGTGATGGCTGGGATCATGTCTAGGAATCCCCAGACGGTTTGGAATAGTACAACGTGTGTGTATGGTGTGTGTGTGTGTGTGTGTGTGTGTGTGTGTGTGTGTGTGTGTGCGGGGATGACATAATTTCTGTGCACCAGTCCAGTCCATTAGATGGTGTGTGTGCATGGCCTGCTGATGAAGGCCCATAACCCATTACAGAGTCTCTCCACACAAACTTGATAAGACGAATGGAAATAGACGCTCAACACAAAAGTACAACTGCTAGTTGATCATTTTTAATTCTGCCTAGTTTTATTTTAACATGTCTGACACAACCAGAGGAGAAGAACCAAAGGATAAAAACTGTACAACAGTGTTGATTATGATGATGAGGATGATTAGGAATTTTCAAATACAGATTTTTTTAATTAATTCATTAATTTTGCAGATATAATATCTCAACTAAACGTGACATTTCAAAACTTTCTGGAGTTTTGAACGTAGGACACTTTCATTTAGCTTTATATATACACTCCCTGCCATAAACTTCTGTGTCAAGGGGGACACAGGGGACACATCCCCCTCGATATTTAGAACATGGGCATTTGCAGAAACATGAAAGCAGACGGCCTTTATTTTTTCCAAATTAAAAACATTTACACTGTATGTTGATAAAGAAAAGAAACAAATTGGTGCATAAAAATTCACCAGGATGCAGGAAATTAAATGTTCTGATTGATGACCTTTGCACCCCTTATTTTATATGTGTCACCCATAATATTGAAACTAAACCTATGCCCTTGCTCCCTGGTCACTTTATTAGGTACACCTGTCAGTCCAAGCCATCCACTTCCACTCTGGTGTAAGCAAAAACCTCACTAACAGTTGAATTCACACCTCTGACAGTGTCAATCAAATCTGAACACCTTGTCTTTGTAAAGGTAAACTCTATGGCTGAGCTGCTGTATTAGATTTCACAGGTGTCCCTTATCTGAGTGTACATTTCTATTTAACATGATCCTCTGAAAATGTATAAGATGTTGGGTCTCACTGCTCTCTCTTGTGTCCGCACACAGACACAGACAGCAGATATTGTTTGTTATGTAGCATCACCTGCTGGCTTAATGGAGAACTGCCAACATTATTGGAATTGCCAAATGATGACATAAAAATAGCAGCAACATATAAATCAGAGATATATGCTAATATTTTCAAGCGATGGCCCAACTTTGATGGCCTAAATGTAAACCTATATAAAAACAATACAGAAAAGAGACTTTAACTGAACTTAACAGCCTCCCTTACAGGTATACTAGGAAATATTATTGGTTGCTGATTGTTAATATGCTCGAGAGCGAAAATTAAAGTAAAAGCCGACCTTAGATTCATTCCCATTTGGCATTTTGCCTCACATATATCTGCTGTGTCTCTTGGATGCCTGCTGCTCAC